GGAAACTAATCTACTATTTTTTTGGCTTTTTTGGACTGTAGGAAAAATAAAAACAGCGAAGAATTACAAGTCTCTCACCGATAAACCTTGCTCTGATTACCAATTGATATGAACCGGCTAGGGTGAATCCCAATCTTTCGATGAGAGAAGGTGGATAACTCGATTTGGGGATGGAGATGACGTTCACGGCCCGACTACAGCCTTCCAAGCTGCGCCTTAGCAACCGATACACCACCTCCAACGGCCGTCGCGATCTTGTGGAGCACGATCAACCAAACCACTAGGGTAATTCCTGCAAGCAATCGAGGAACAAGCAAGAACAAGTAGAACAAGCAACTCAATTGCAAATATGGAGATGAAAAACCAATCTGAACTCATAAAGTTGGGGTTCTGAATCAAGTAGAACGGATGGTCTAGTCGACTCACGCGTCTACAAGGAAGTAGCAATGGCTAAACTTTCAACAAACAAAACCCAAGTGTTCCTGGTGGCGGCTAAGGGGTATATGACGTGTGGAGGACGACCACAAGAGAGTTTGGGTCGTGCTACAACCCTAGGACGCGTCCCTACTGGACTCTAAACGATACAAGCCCATTGGGCTAACTTAAGGTGGCGCAGCACCCTGGACAGAATAGACCTCTCGGTGATTTTTGGACTGTTGACGCCGTTTCTGAGCAGGTATGAGTATGAGGTCAGATCCGTATGAAAGTAGACTTTATTAGCTTTCCAACAAGTCCAGAATCACCCCAATCTGACTCCGTATGTAACCGTGGCGACCGTCGCAAGTTGGAGGTGTGCTGCAGTCCGAATCCGGCCTACGCGAGTCCTTTTCCCTTTCGGTCTTCTCCTTGATTCCTAATCAAAACAAGAGTGCACGTGTCTCCAAGATCTAAACAGGATGGACAAGAGCTCAAGAAGGAACTCACTTGATGATTAAGTGTTCGAGCACGAGCACGGGTAATAGGACCAGCAAGTGTCGGCGTGGACGGCGTGGATGTATGATCGGTGTTGATGTCCTCATCATCTATTGGATTAATTGATTGGAGAGTCCTATGTACATATATATAGGGAAGAGGAGATCTTGTGGCTTATAGAAATAGAACCAACAGAGATCTCCTCATATCTCTCTAACCAAATATAGGGCTGGCCGGCTATACCAGGCACAGGCCCATACACGCACAGCACATATACATGTATATTCTAACACGCCCATGATCCACGACATCGATGGGTCGAACATTGAGACTGTATCAAAACTCCATGAAGACAGCAGAGGCAAGCCTTTGGTAAAAATGTCGGCGAACCCAGGGCGTCGTCGGGGCGTGAAGAACGCGGACAACACCAAGAGCCACTCGTTCTCGGACGAAGTGAAGATCAATCTCAATGTGCTTGGTATGCGATGTTTGAATGAGGTTGGAAGACATGTACACGGTGCTTGATATTGTCGTAGTAGACCAATGTGGCATGGCGCGGGGTGTATGCAGCTCAAACAACAATCGGCGCAACCAAGAAGCTTCGGCGACGGCATTGGCGACCGCGACGATACTCGGCTTGACCTTTGGAGCGAGAGACCGTGTTCGGCGCTTGGAGGACCAGAAATCAAAGTGTCACCGAGGAACACCGCGTAGCCGAGGTGGACTTACGAGTGTCGGACACCGCCGCCCGGTCGGCATCGGAGTGAACAACAAGATCAAGCCGACCGGAGGCTCGAATGTGTAACCCCAACTCTAAAGTGCCACGAACATAGCGCAATATGTGCTTCAAAGCTGCAAGGTGAGGCTCTCGCGGATCATGCATATGAAGACACACTTCACGCACGGCATAAAGCAATGTCCGGCCGTGTGAAAGTGAGATACTGCAGAGCTCCTGCTAGGCTGCGAAAAATCCGTGGGATCTCGCAATGGGGTTGCCATCACCGAGAGCTTCGGGTTGATATCAACCGGAGTAGAGCGAGGGCTTGCAATCGCCATACCAAAGACGATCTAAGATGTCCAAAGATATATCTCGATGTTGAGATAAGAAAAGACCACAGGTGGTGCGCGTTGAACACGCATGCCCGTAAAATGATGGAGTTCTCCCAAATCCTTCATAGAAAATTCCCGCTGAAGCGCTGCAATAATACGCTGGCGTAGATCCGCTGAGGAAGCAGTCAGCACAATATCATCAACATAGAGCAGGAGATATGCAGTCTCAGAACCCCGACGATAAACAAATAAGGATGTGTCCGACTTGGTCTCAACAAAGCCCAACTGGAGAAGGAACGTGGCGAACCTGCTATACCAAGCACGGGGCGCCTGTTTCAGGCCATATAAGGACCTGTTTAAGCGGCAGACAAAATCCGGGCGAGAATTGTCCTCAAATCCTGCTGGCTGGGCGCAGTAGACTGTCTCGGAGAGGGTCCCATGGAGGAATGCATTCTTCACATCAAGCTGATGAACTGGCCAACTGCGTGAGACAATAACGAGAGAGAATCTGTCTTGAAACGATGGCGGGCTTCTAACGGGGCTGAAAGTCTCATCGTAGTCAATGCCTAGGCGCCTGGTGAATCCACAAAAGAACCCAGTAGCGCCTTTGTAGCGCCGAGAGAACCGTCTCGCCTGAAACTTGTGTTTGAAGACCCACTTGCCGGTCACCACATTAGAGCGCGGTGGTCGCGGAACTAGATCCCAAGTGTGGTTGACAAGCGGTGAGAACTCCTCCTGCATAGCTGCGCGCCAATGGGGGTCGACAAGAGCAGCGATCGTCCGCTGAGATCGGCGATAGGGAGGTCGTCTCAAATGCCACCGTTGTCGGAAACCGGCTTTCCCGCAGCGTCCTCATGGCATGCTGATTGACCACAGGGGACGATGGGAACCGCCCAGTGGAAGGCGAACAGCGATGATGGCACCGGTGGTGGTGGAAGCGGTGGGCAGGTGGAGATGGAGGCCGTGGGCGACGACTGTATGTCAGCCGAACTGGTGGGACCGGCGCCGTAGCAGCCTGCCCATCCCAGCGCTGGAAGCCGGGTGGAGGACCAACAGGCGACTGCCTGCACCAGCCGGGCCGGGTCTTTGGAGGGGCCAGTGCTTCTTTGGTGGTGCACGTGCTGATTGCCCAGACCACCGGGTGGCTGATGGAGGAGCCATTCTTTGGTGGTGCATGACCAATTTATTGCGTAGTGCACTGCTTGTAGATGATGCGCCGAGGGGGCTAGAGGAGCAGCAGCAAGCCATGGGGCGCTGCTCCTGAAACACAACCCATGCGTGGCTGTGCAGTAGCAAGGCGCCGGGAGAACTCTGCAGGCATAAAAATGACGACACACTGGTGGAGCCATCACAGGTCGATGAGAGTCCAAGAACTCAAGTCACAGGGGAGTAGGACGAGCGGAATCCTCGGAGAAGGGATAGGTTGTCTCATCAAAGATGACATGCCGGGATATGATGATCCGGTTGGAGGACCTGTCAAGACAGCAGTATCCTTTGTGATGAGGGGAATAGCCAAGAAAAACACACAAGGAGGAACGGGGGGCGAGTTTGTGGGGAGCGGTGGCTGAAAGGTTGGGATAGCAACGGCACCCAAAAACACGAAGATGCTCATAAGAGGGTGGAGACCCATATAGGACCATATGAGGGGTGGAGAAATTGAGTGTCTTGGTAGGGAGAATGTTAAGGAGCAGTGTGGCGGTGGAGAGGGCCTCAACCCAATAGGCTGGAGGGACACTAGCACAGAACAGGAGGAGCGAACAACATTATTGATGGTACGAATAATGCGTTCGGCTTTACCGTTTTGGGAGGTGTAAGGACAAGACATGCGTAGCTGCACGCCGTGAGAGAGGAAGAAGGCACGGGAAGCATGATTGTCGAACTCGCGTCCATTGTCGCACTGAATACCCTGAATAGAGACACCGAACTGTGTAGCAACATATGGAAAGAAGTTAGACAGGGTCGAAAAGGTGTCTGACTTTAACCGAAGTGGAAAAGTCCAGAGGTAGTGCGAAAAGTCATCAAGAACGACAAGATAATACTTGCATCCAGCAACACTTGGAATAGGCGAGGTCCACAAATCACAATGTATTAATTGGAAAATATGAGTGGTTCTGGAATTGGACGCATGAAATGGCAAACGAGTATGACGCCCCAACTAACAAGCATGACATAATGTTTGACTGGCACTATTATTACATGGAATAGCAGACGATTGGGCTAGCCTAGACAAGACTTCATGACCGGGATGACCAAGACGCTGGTGCCAAAGCGAAGGACTGGAGGTGGCGATCAGAGTAGAGGCAGGCTCATGGAACTGTAGTGGGTAGAGGGGACCGGAGCTGTCACACCGGACGATCTCTCTCCGAGAATGTAGATCCTTCACAGAACAGCCAAGAGGGTCAAACTCCACAGAACAATTGTTATCGGAAGTAAACTGACGTACCGAAATAAGATTCTTAATAAGGCCAGGAGAAACAAGGACATTATTAAGATGAAGGTTATGAGGAAAATTGGTAACGCCAGTGGAAGTAACGGGAAGAAGGTGTCCATTACCGACAACAATATGGGATGGTGATGATGAAAGTCAACTTTGATTTCCCAAACCTCCGATCTAGGCTTGTAGCAGTTTTTGGCCCTCTCATGATTGTCATATGATAGCTGTGGCTTTTTAGCATGCATCTTGTTCACAATCGATTGAAATCATGCCAAGTCCTTCGTCATCGCAGCTGAAGGCGATGCGCTAACCTAGTATTCAATGCTAAGGTCAAGTTCTATCTATTTATGGGAAGACCTTCGTGACAAGATCTTAGCAAATTTCAAGGGGTTCACAAGTAAATCCTTGACTTTCATGGACCTGTTTCAATGCAAGCAGAATCAAGCGAGGTGGGAGTGGACGCGTCGGAGAGAACGTGACTCTCCAGAGAGTAGCGGCCGACGACGTGGAGGAAGGACTCGCGCCAGCGGCCGTAGAACGTCGAAGAGACGTCGAGGACGAGCGGCACGAGGAGACGGATGTTCTGCACAGCCACGGCTTGGGCATGCAGATTGATCAAGGCTGCGGCCTCGTGCTGGAAGAGAGCATCCTGGAGGGGATCGTCGCCGGCGTCGGAGTCTTCGCCGCCGGAACCGTCGTCACTTCCAGGGAGGGGTTGGGTCGCAGCACGCTCGAGGGCGGCGCGAGCCAGGGCAGCGCGGAGGCGAGTTTCGGCGGCGTCGCGCTCAGCCTGCGCTGCAGCAGCCACGCGGTCAGCCTCAGCCACGCGGGCGAGGGCAGCGGCGTGGCGAGCCTGGGCCGCGCGCTCGCGGAGGCGAGCAGCGTCGGCATGGGCGCGCTTCTCCTGGGCAGCGATGGCTGCAGCACCAGAGGCGTCGGTGACGATGCCGGAGGCTGCGCTCGAGGGCTGCGGAGCGTGCGGCTGGGGAGCAGGGGGTGGAGGATCGCCGGGCATGATTGGTGCTGCAGAGGATGCGCACGCGAATTTGCGGCGGCGAGCAGGAGCGGAAGGGAACCCTAGACTCGTGATATGAGTCCCTAAACTACGAGACTCTCACAGTCGATGAGCTTTTTAGCAAGCTCAAGTCCATAGAAATAGACTAGCAATCCAGAGCCAAAATTGAGAACCCAACAAACTCATCCATGGCTCTAGTGTCTGGTTCTGCTAACCCCTCACCCACTTGGTTTTCCTTGTCTTATTTGATATCTATCACTGAGGAGCAGGTTGAGATACTTGGAGACAATGAGCCGGCGTTGGTCATCAACCGGTTCAAGCAGTTCCACGACAACCACAAGAACCGATGACGAGGTGTGGACACAAGGAGGGCTGCTTCAATTGCTGAGACCTCGACCACTGCATCGCCAACGACTGCACCAAGATGAAGGGCAAGGAGGACTACGACAACCAAAAGGACAAGCGCGAGTACACCTCCGGCAAGCACAAGTCCAGGGGGATGAAGCTATACAAGGAGGCGCTCAAGAAGCAGTTCTGCAAGATACTGCCAAGGCACAAGAGCACGCCTTCCTTTGACTCTCTCAGCGACCTCAAGAAGGACTCCACCCATAGCAACTCCTTCACCTCCAGTGATGACGAGTTCAAGCGCAAGATCAAGGACAAGCTGAATGGACTCTGCTTCCACGCCGACACCGCCAAGAAGGGCTTCTGTGTCACGGCGCTTGACGATGAGAAGACGGGCGGCAACGACGATGACGAAGACTCTGACTTTGAGGTATCATGTTCTGCTAACGAGCTTGGTGCTGAGTTGAATACCATGAATGAAGCTTTGCTTAGTCAGGACAAGCTGCTTAGACATGAGGTGAAAGAGCGGAACGAGTTCAAGGCTAAGCTAGAGCAAGCGCTTAAGGACCTTGAGTTTGCTAGAGCTCCAGTTATGTATGAGGAGACGAAGTGCGATACCTGCACGATACACATGTCAAATCTTACCAACCTGCAAACTGAGAATGCATATTTGTTCGATAGGCTAGATGAAGTGAAGTATAGGCCTAGCTTGTTGGATGTGTGCAAGTCATGTCCCGCTTTGCAGTCAGAGATAGTTGAAAAGAACGCTAAGATAGCGTTGCTAGAGAAGGCTAGCTGTGATAGTGCTCTAGCTGAGTGTTTGTTTTGTCGAGGCTTGATCCATGAATTGAGGCTTGTCATGTAGCGCGCCAAGACTGATCCAAGGCAGACTGATCCAAGGCACCACAACTTAACAAGTTTAGGATCCATATTTCGATTTTAAGAGTTCGTGAGACCTAAGTGATATAAGGCCACAAGTTAAGGACCGTCTATGTATTTAACGCTTATTTATATTATGTATTTAGACAGAGTGTAAATCTAAGTGTATAGCAAAAGCTATAAATCTAGAAAAGACAAATTTTTATAATTTAGAATGAAGGGAGTATTATTTTTCTATGAATATCACAGTATAGATACAAACGGTTACATATATGTGTCCATATTCACCTCTACGGGTGCACACCCACTCTAACCTAATATATTCGTAGCATTTAGTTAAAGTTAGAAAAACTATAATACTTTTTTAATCACAGTACGGACACATATATAATACATGTGCGTCCTCGCAAAGGAAAATATAATACATGTGCGTACACTGACTAATAATATGAACTCACGCACACACTCTACCCCTGTAACCAGCTCCGAGAGTCTGACCTGATAAATCACATCGCCCACTACTGGCTCATTAAATTTATAAATTCAGAGAAATGTGATCAACTCGACGGCAGGACTCAAAACTAGGTGAAACACAGGTTGACCATAAAACAAACTTAAATAAATAGCCAAGCTACAGTTTGTTCAGAGAAAAATTAGTATATTATTATTGCAAAAAAAAGGTGAGAACATTTGACTAACTCAGATTTCGTACGTCCTGTACTTATGAACACATTATTGTGTCGACTAGTAGAATACCGAAGTTTCAATCCAGCAAAACCATAGACTTGAGCGCGGCAAGGTCACGCAAGCAAATACGCATGTGGGCAACTAAAAAGTCCTAGTACGTACTGCAGCCACTGACCATAACTCCTAAAGTACACAATTAGACGATTTGAAAAGATGGGCTCTAAGCGTACACTTTGTTGAACCATGGGCTCTGCTCTTAACAATGCAGGTTTCATACGGATCAGGTGCCATCACCACCTGGTAAAAACTAACAAGTCCACTAGGCACCATGCGACGACGCCCACGACGTCGACTTGATCTGTCGTCACATATACTTGTGCGACTTCCTGCTCGGTTACGCTCGGCACCTTGCGGGTCAAGATTACGTTGTTGATTATTATGGAAATTTTGTAACGGTAAGCATGCATGGAAGCTGTGGAAGTTTCTATACAAAAGCAAAGATACCCCTCTGTCCCTTAAAAAATCAATTTCTAGAGTAAAAATTTATCCATGAATAAGTTGATGACGATCCACCAGCCCATACCCATTTAATACTTTCTCGTATTCCCATTCTATTTACTGCAGCATCCTCTCCTATTGGCCAATTTTGCTGCAGCCAGCCAGATGAGCGGTAAATAATGTGACCAACGCGTAACCCAAACACCGATTAATGTGCAACTTAATGGTGGAACTCAAATTAATCAAGGCCTTATGGTCATTTGGCAGCTATACTAATCTTTCCAAAACTTGCTAGGAATCTATCTATTTAGTAACAGATGAACCTGTTGAGCAGCCATTTTTTCGGTGGCAGCTGCCGCTCACATGTTACTGTGTGCCGACAGTAGCAGCTGCTACACAGAACGTAGACATTTCATTTCATCCAACAATCCTCCAATCCCATGTCACACATTAAATGCTATATGACCGGAATATAAAACAATTGAATTGAAAGTATGCATTTGAGGATGTGATTTTCTTCATCAACATAAAACCACTCTCAATGATGTGGCAGTGGCATCGTTGAAAACAACGAACAAAACGAAACTTCTTTTTACGGTTGACCAGTAGTTCTATCCGCTTACCATTGACTTTATGAAAATAAGTCATTCTTAGATAAATACATCGATATCGAAGACCTATTCACAACATACACCACTGTACTCTCACACATCCTTATGTACCGGAGGTGCACATTTCCATCTCTCTCTCTCTCTCCCCACACAAAACGTTAACCTTTTGACCAGCTTTCATAAAAAAATGATGTTGCGACCATTAATTAATAATTAGGTTAATTTAGTCTAATAATTAACCAATAAATTTGATCAGAATTCACCAGAAAATTTGACAAGTTCCTATGATACGACGACGCCGCAGAGATAGGGAAAAAAAGGAGCACAAGTTGCACCCACGGTTACGTACCATAGTTGGGCTATAAAAGGCATCCCAAGGCGACATCCATGAGCAGCTGTGAAGCCAACAAATCAGCTACAGCCTACAGGGTGCTGCTTGAGGGACGGTGCAGTGCGGAGTGGGTTAGCCTTTCCTCCGTACAAAGGTACCTGTTCTGCCCTTGACTACTACAGTCTACAGAGGAAGCCGCCGGCGGCGGAAAGTTGGCACAACAAGCGGGTGCCGGAGGTGGCCGTGAGATGGTGCCCCGCAGCGGCGACCTGGAGCTGCAGCTGCCGCCGGTGAACTGGCTACGGCAGGACTCGCTGTACCGCGACGCCACGAGGCCAGCCCACGCCGCCCATCACCATGGACGAAGCCCGTATAATATTTAATAAATCAAATAAAACTCTATAGTGCGTACTATTAAGCGTTGTATGGTTTAATACCATACGAGATTTTGACTGGACATTGACTCAGCTTATATGGTTGATCTTAATTGAGAAGCTGAGAAAAGGACATAGGCTTGCCACACGCGTGTGCGCGCGCCGCCTCCGCCGCCGGCTAGGCCGAGGGCGTGGCAGGCAGCGAGCGGGCGGGCGTGGCCAGTCTTTTGCCACTTAATCCACATAATTACGGGAGTTTTCTCTCCTTTACGGTGGAGGCGAGGTGATTGCGCCGTTTCCGTTTCCCCGTCTCTTCGTGTCTCCGTCTCCTAAATTCCTCCGCTGGCTCTCTTCCTCCCCGTCGTAGGCATAAAACAGAACGTCCTCCGTCAGTCCTTCCCTTCTTCCGCAACCGATCCTAAGAGAAACCACATCTCAGCAGCCCTCTGGCTTCCCCGTCCCGTACCTCTGCGCTCACGGAGTAGCGGGAGAGCAGGTGCCTCCGGAACCCTCGTCCGCCTGAGAACCTTGCACGGGGTGAGTGGCGATTAGGTTTTTGGGGAGCGATCCGTGACTGCTTGTCCACGTATGTCTTCTTCCTGGTGGTGATCGCTCTCAGAACCCGTCTTCTTCCCGGTGATTGCTTGCGGAACAGTAAGGCGTCTTCTTCCTGGTGACCGTTCGTGGGACTGCACTGCAAACATCTTCCTGCATCGACTGTAGTCCACGACTTCGAGCAACGCATTATGTCGACTAGTGCGAATGGAGCCTCCGATGCCCTCGAGCATGGGACCCTCCGCTGGGTACATTCTTTTCTTTGTAATTACCGCATTTTGCGTTCTTACTGTATCGATCTGTATGTCATGTCTGCATGCTGTAGCATTCGTTAGTAATATACACATGCACATATATGTCGTCACAAACCTGCTGATGTTATATTTTTAGATTAAATTGACCATGAAAATGCCTAATTATCTAACATTCCAAAAACCTAATGTTAGGCAATTTTTATCAGTGGTTTTGCTGCTGCTTTGAAGCCAAATAATTTTGATGGCAAGAATTTCATGATATGACGTGCCAAGATGGTATTATGGTTGACTGCGATGAACTGTTATCACGCCGCGCAGGGGGAGCCTGAACAGTTTACTCCTGAGTAGGAGCAAAAGATCTTGGCTGCCGATAACCTGTTTCAAGGTGCCGTGATTAGTGCACTTCATCCTAAGTATAAGAAAAACTACATATCTTGCACATCAGGCAAAGAGTTATGGGATGCTCTTGAGGCAAAGTTTGGAGTTTCTGATGCTGGTAGTGAGTTGTACCTTATGGAGCAGTTGTATGACT